TCACACCCTTCACTTCCCCTTCTTCCTTCCTTCCTTCCTTCCTTCCTTCCTTCCTTCCTTCCTTCCTTCCTTCCTTCCTTTCAAGAGAGAGAGATATGCTGTAGGATTTGTGAGCTTGCTGGAGAGAGAGAGAAAGTGAGAAATTACCCCCCAGGGGGATGACCACACCACAATCCCTTCTCCATCCTCCTCTTGGGATTTTGAGGCACATTCACATGTGTCTGGTTGAGTTTTAAGCCACACATTACGTGGGAGTCCAGGAGGTAACCATTACGCCGTCTGCTGGTAGCGGGAAGAAAGCTTTTAAATATTCCGGTGCCCAGGCCATACTCCACCAATTCACCCAGAATCTGGGCGTGGGGTGGGGTGAAGGGGGTGTCACAGGCATCAACTGTCTAAAAAATTTCTTAGGTAATTCCTATGTGCAACCGGGTTCGGGAACTAAAGATCTTGCTACTACTTAAGGTGTGGTCTTGGTGCGTATTAGAAATGCAGACACTGAGGCCCTTCTCCAGACCTACTTACTCAGAGTTTGCACTGTAACAATATCCCAAGGTCATCCTCTGCAAAATACAATTTGAGAGCCACTGATTTAGAGGCAGGAGTCAAGCAAACTTCTTCTGTAAAAAGTCCAATGATATTTTATGCTTTGTGGGCCATGTGGTCTGTTTCAGCTCCTCTCCTCACCTCGGCCAGCACACCGTGAAGGGTCTGGACATTACAGAAGTGAATGAGCATGGGTGTGTTCCAGTAACGCTGATTTGTACAAAGAGGTGGTTTGGTTTGCCTACTTTTTATCATAGCATACAGGCGTATCAGAAAAAAATCACTTTAATAATAATTAATCTCTCTTTTTTTTTTTTTTTTGGAGAGGTTTTTGCTATAGGGCGTGTGTGCTCACCAGAAAGACAGAGAGAGACAGAGAGACAGAAAGTGAGAAATCACTCCCTGGGGGGATGGCCATGCCACAATTCCCTCTCCTCGTATCCTCTTGGGATCTTGGGCACACACGCACATGTGCCTGGCATGAGTTTAAGCTACGGGGTCTGGTATTCGAACCGCAGTCGACTACATGGGAGTCCAGTGACATAGCCATTACATCAACTGCTGGTCCCAATAATAATTAATATCTTTAGTAGATAAAAAACACTTGTGAGAAATAATATGAAGTTGGTGAAATACCTTTAGTTTTATCTAAGATAAAAAATATTGGGTCAGGAGCAGCAGCTGATGGCATAATGGTTAGATCTCTGGGCTCCCATGTAGTTGACCACAGTTTGGGTCCCAGACACGGCAGCTTAAGAGTCAAGCCAGTTGCGGGTGGATGCATGCCTAAAATCCCAAGAGGAGAATAGAGGAGAAGGGATTGCGATGTGGCTATCCCCTGGGGTGGGGTGGGGAGGGTGATTTCTCGCTTTCTATAGGAATAGGAATAGAAACAGAATAGGATTGTAATTTCTATGTCTCTGTCCCTCTGGCAGGCACACATACCTTATAACTAAAATCTCTATATGAAAAGAAAAATTGGGTTGTCAGAAAAGTCATGATTCATTTTTGCATAGAGAAAACATAGAAAAATATGGTCATGACTTTTCAGAGGACCCACTATATTGAGGAGTGTGTAGACTATTGACCACTCTTGTTTTTAATGTGCTTTAAGTTTATCTAATTCGATTTTTAAAAATTGCTGCTTAACAATGGGCTCACACAAGTTTTCAGAATGTTAGTGATTGCTTTTTGCTTTCGGTGCAGCAAAACCAGAAATGTTTTGTACCTTCATTTCCCAAAGCTCTCCAAACTATTATTTTTAAAATGATTTACCAGGAATAAAACAGGAAGTAGCACTTACCAAGAAGAGGGGGGAGTGGAGGCAGCGTAGGCAACTTAATGAGCCTCAGAAGTTTACCTCCCAGGACGGCACAATAGAAAAGGATTATAATTCCAAATAGGTTTCCTCCGGGAAGACATTCACTGCCAGTAACTGACCAGACTACGGCCCACAGAAGAACGATGATGGTAACTGAAATAAACCAGGAAAACGAGTTTCTATCAGTAAGCTGTCATATGCAGGAGTTGATATAATCTAAGATAATTTTTAGAATAAATATTAAATATATATGCAAATACTTAGAACCATGTGTAAACTATAAAGAACCTCGGTAATACTGAAGCAGGTCAGCAGGACGGCAGCCATTTTGAAATTAGGAAATGCCTCTAAAGAGAACCTGACTCAGGGGTCAGCAGGTGGTGTAGTGGTTAAAGGCACTGGACTCCCACATGGCTGACTGTGGTTCAAGTCCCAGACCTGGCTGCTTACCTTCTTGGATTCCCTCTTTCTCTCACTCTGTTCCTCTCTGGTCAAATTAAAATAAATAAATAAATAAATACAGATAAATAAAATAATTCTTTAAAAAAGAGAGAGAGAGAGAGAATCTGACTCACTGTTGAGTCAGGGGGAGGTCTGTTTGAGGAATGCTCAGATGAGAAACCAGGAGTGGGTATTTGAAGGAATCGGGATAACAACTCTGATTGGAGGGGAAATGATGTGGACCTGCTTGTATCTTATACCCAAAATACTAAGAACAGCTCGAATTTTCTGAGACATTTGATGGTGTTTGCTGATGGTCTCCCTGTAACTGACTACAGAATAAACTCCCTCTTCTCCAACTTCTGCCTCTCTTTTCACTGACAAGAAGCCGGATTTAGTTGGCCAGTGACAATATGAACTGGGCAACTGCCAGCATTTTAAGAAACAGGATATGATCAGTACCTTGGACAGCCGTTGTGCCCCTCCCAATTCTCATACCCCATCGCCCTTCACACTGCTAGAAAGACCACTCTTGGGGATTTCTAAAAAAAAAAAAAAAAATCATTCCTTGGTTTTCCTTTATGGTTTTACCACAAATACAACAAATAGTTAACATTATAAAGAGTGGGACCAGCAGGTGGCATGGAGGGTAGGGTGTCTGGATCTCACATCACCAACTGTGCAGTTTGAGTCTCAGACTTGGCAGTTTGAAAAACACACCAGGCCCATGTGCACACATGCCCAAAATCCCAAGAGGAGAAGGAAGGAGAAGGGACTGCAGTGTGGCTATGCCCCTGGGAAGGCAGGGAGTGATTTTTCACTTTTCCTCTGTCTTTCTGTCTGTGGTGAGCTGATGCGCTATGGCAAACTTAAAAAAAAAAAAAAAAAAAATAACTGTAAAGAGTAATAGGCTTGTGAAATTGAAGAATAATCACCATCTTTACCCTCTTCCTAAGAATGTGAGAATATCTGAATCCCAATCACCCTCCAGTGTTTTAGTCTGTCTTCTATTAAAGATTAGATTATTTCGTTTTTACAGTCAAGGTTTGCCTCGAACTGCTCCCACGCTTCCCTAAGTTTACCGTGATTCATGGTGGCATCTCCAGCCTCTCACCTGGGACCACTATGCTCCTGCCTACAGGTTTCCTTTCATTGCCACCTTTTTTCTTTTTACCTTTTTCTTCCATGAGTGAGAGAGACAGAGAGAAGAGGCAGGGGGATAGTATCTCCAATGGGCTCCAACACCGCCACCCTCCCCTGCCGTCCCCAGCCCTGAAGCATGGGCATGAATGTGACCAGCACCATCAGGGAGGTCTCTGGACGTGAACTCAGAACTTTTCCATGTAGGTCAGCCTCGCAGTGTCGTGTCTCACCACGGCACCGCCATCCACCTCCCAGCAGAGACAATTCTATTAGAATGTGAAACATACATTCCTGTTTGGAAACTTTTGTTCCAAAAAATTGTACACAAAACACAGAAAGGCTTGGAGGGGGAGGGGTGCAGTAAGTGGTATGGTGGTTAAAGTGCTGGACTCCCACACAGCCAACTGTGGTTCAAGTCTCAGACCTGGTGGCTTGAAAATCATGTCAGGTGTGTGTGCATGTGTGCCCAAAACCCTGAGAGGAGAATGGGGGAGAAGGAATTGTGGTATGGCTCATCCTCTCTGGGGTGTGTGTTGGGGGAGTGATCTTCACTTTCTCTTTCTCCTGTGAGTACACAGACCCTATGACAGAAACCTAAAAAAAAAAAAAAAAAAAAAAAGGCTCCTGGGAAAAGCAAAGATCAGAGGTAGACCACTGAAAACACAAAACTTGTGAGCAAAGCACTAACAAAAACAATCCTAATAAATGTACCAGCACAGTTAAAGCTGGAGAGCTCATGGCCTCTCCAGAGAGAGAGAGAGAGAGAGAGAGAGAGAGAGAGAGAGAACCTCCTCCATGGGCAATGGTCATGCTGCAACCCCTTCTTCTCCATCTCTCCTTCCTTTCAGGATTTTGGGCACGCGTGTGTTTCTCAAGCCACCACGAAGTGGGGCATGTGGAAGCTGCTGCCTTACCCACCAGGCCATGGCCGGCCCCTCCACTGACGTCTGTACGCCTGCTATGTGGGTTTCCTGCTTCGCCATGGAGATTCTCCAGGGTATTTACTTTAAGTAATGCTTCGCCATGGAGATTCTCCAGGGTATTTAAGTATGAGCAGTTCCACCAACATTTGATCCCAACTGTGTCCCTCTTATCAATCAACATTTTTTTTAACTGGGAGAACTTCGGCAGCCTCGTCATCTGTTCTCCCAGCTGCTTCACTGACACGTGCAGCTTAATTTGATAGCTTAATGCTGTGGAGTCCTTGAAGTCCTTGAAGCCAGTAACCAGCGACCAACTGTGTGAAAGGGATGCTTTCACAGCGGATGTCAGGGGCTGTCTTTAATTACAGGAAAGCAAATACCTGATCTATTTCTGTTTTCGGTTTTGAATTCATTGTGTCTTCACTCGCTATTGCTTAACTGTGCAAAATACTAATATTCCAGAAAAGGTGATGTGTACAAATACAAACGTCTTACTCCATGGACACAGTCCCTCCCACTGTGGCCCCTGAGGGGATTCAGGGTGGCACACAGCCTGACTCAGAGTACGCCGTTCATCCTGAGAATCCGTGAGTCAAATCTTGGTTTCATTGTCTGGAATGATCTCATTCTCATTCTTAAAGAATAGTTTTTGTAGATATACCCTACATTTGCCTCAAATTCTAGGTTGAGAGTAATTTTCTCTCAGTTCTTTGAAAAATCAGTCCTTATTTTCTGGCTTCCATTGTTGATGTTGGGAAGTATAATTTCAGCTCTTCTAAGGAACTCTTTCTTGTTCAAGATCTTTGCTTTTTCTTCGGTTTTATGCAATTTCAGTGTGATGAGTTAGGTGTGGCTTCTTTGGGTTGGCGTAGGATTTATGTGTGTGTTTTATTGATTCTGGAAAATTCTTTATTTCTTCAAATACCTTCTCTTCCTTGTCCTCCCGATTCTCTCTTCTGTAGCTGGGACTGGACATCACTCTCCATGTTGCTGACTTCGGTTTCCTGGTTTTCATCCTTGTGTCTACTGCGTTCTAGATGTTCTCTAGAGCATCTGGAGTCTGTCCACCGATTTTCTTTTCACTTAGTCTACTGCCTAAATCTATCCATTGGTTCTTTTATTTCAATTACTGTACTGTGTCAAGTTCAAGTTGGTTCTTATTCAAATCTGTTCCTTTTAAGTAGTCACTTGCTTTGTATCCATAAGTCCTCTGTGCTTTGTCACATGTTTATATATATGGAAAACCTCTGTAGTCTATTTTCATAGATGGGAAAATTATGCCAACTGTTTTCTGCTTCCTTGTACATGTTGTGATTTTTAGTTTGTTTTCTTGCAACAAGGAGTTGGCCTTGGGACCAGCAGATGGCTTAACAGTTACATTGTTGGACTCCCATATAATCCACCTTGGTCTGAGTCTGGACCTAGTGGCTTCAATGTGTGTGTGAGTGCCCAAAACCCCGAGGAGATAATGGAGGAGAAGGGACTACAGTTGTGGCCCTCCCCCCAGCTACTTGCTTTTTGTCTCTCTTTCTCTCTAGTGAGCACTAACACCACATAGAAAAAAATCTCTTTAAAAAAAAAAAAGGAGCCAGTCTTTGCCTGTGGGTTTATTGGAGTCTTAGGCTAATGTGAGTTTTCCCAGATAGAATCTATTTCACTTTTAGCACATGCGTAGAAGCTTAGGATCCAGAAAGATACATTTTCAGATTGAGTTTTTATCTGTGAATCTGAGCATGAATCTGGATGAAATCATACATTTTTAATGGAGATTTTCCCCATGCCAGCAACCAGTTGAGACAGGTTAAGGAGCAGGCCCCATCTGCAGGGAAGGTTGAGCTTCAATTCCTCGAACCTTTAGGTTCCAACTGTATGCAGACAATGGGGGGGGGGTTCCTCTGTGATACCCCTGCCCTCAGGCAGGCTCTAGCTTCAAATTCACCAGGTTCGTAGAAACCTCGAGAGTGACAGCCAGCTTGAGTGTTTATTTACTTCTGCCGCTTACGCTTTGTTTTTGTTGTCTGACGATTTCTGCTTTCTCGACAGGTGGAAGGCACGTTTAAAAGACTTAAAAGATTTGTTTTCATTGGGTTCAGTGACAGGATTGTTCATCGAGTCTTGTCTGACATATTGCTAAAGAGAAAACTCAACTGCCCTTTTTCTAGACCTTCACAGAATCAGATTTGCTGGGCTCACAACACTGTTGTAATGAAATAACGCAGGGGCCCTTTGATTTTTTTCCAACTGGCCATGAGGGCTGAAATTTCTACTGCAACACAGGCAGTAAAATGAGAAAGCAGGACTTGCCGGCTGCTAACTGCTACTTCACCACGGCACTTACCCGACTTTATCCTGAATCCGGCAGGAGAGTGAGAGGCTTTCACTTTTCCACTTTGATACCTCTTGGAGAAATTCTAGCTCTCCTTTTTTATCCCATTTGAAATACAGTTGTAAATATGTAGCCAATATGAATTTATAAAGTTTCTGTTAGTAACATTTATACAAATTACTTACTTTTTTTTTTTTTTTTTTTTTTTTTTTTGAGAGGTTTTCACTATAGGGCGTGTGCGCTCGCCAGACAGACAGAGAAAGACATAGAGACAGAAAGCGAGAAATCAACCCCCAGGGGGGATGGTCACGCCGCAATCCCTTCTCCTCCATTCTCCTCTTGGGATCTTGGGGACGCACGCACACGTGCCCGACGTGAGTTCTAAGCCACCGGGTCCGGGACGCAAACTGCGGTCGACTACGTGGGAATCCAGCGACATAGCCATTATGCTAACTGCTGGTTCCCACTTACTTTTTTCATTTATAATACTGGAAAACTGTATTTTCACATATAAGACTTCTTAGGAAAAATGCTCACATATACTTAATGCGCACAGGAAGAAATAGGGACAAAAGGAGTCTTGAAGACCCCCAGGACAGCAGCACAGGAAAACAAACGATGAGGTGTTTCTATAGCGTGAGTCCCATTTTCCAGACAGTTTTGTGAAAAATAATTATAAATATTTTTAAAAAATGAGACTCAAAATCACATCATTCATTTTTCTCCTTCTCTGTGTCAATCTGTATCTGTTTAAATGTAAATATTTTAATAGGAAATGTGCCATATTTTGAATAGCAGAAGTTACAAAAACAACAGAAAGGACAGAGAAAGTATTAAGTTATCTGTCACCCTATCATCTAGTGTATATTTTGGAAGCTGGTTTTCTTTAAATGGGCTAAATAGAGCTTGAGGTTTTCTTCCATGCCTGTTCAGAACTTGGCTTCATTAAAAATATATCCAGGACCTAACATGTAAAATACTTAGCTTCCGTGGTCTCTGATGAAGTGGTTAAGATGGTTTTTAGAGCTCATCAATGAACTGCAACTGGAAAGAAGTGAGCCTTGTTTTTCAGTACACCGAAAACACACCCTGAGAGACCAGATACTTCAGCGATGCTGCCATTCTTAACAGATTTTTGAAGTTGTCTTTAAGTTTGCTGTTATAGACAATTTTCAAACCTCTTCTTTTTCCTACTATATTGCATATCTCTCCACACACACACAAATACACACACACTTCCTTTTTTAGCAAAAAGTGGCATGACTGAAACAGAACACCCATTTATTCATCAGATTGATATCAGAATAACCTTTGGCTGCACCCAAAAACCAAATCCATTTCTAAGAGTCAAATACAGCCCAACCCTAGCACTATTCGAAATTGTGCTGAGATAAACATCCCCCCCCAAAAAAAATATAATCCCCCAAATATTTTAAGTAATAGCAACTCTACTGGAATCAGTGGAGTTACAAGCCAAGATCTTCACTTATAAATGACAGGACCCATTTGGAAATATAAGCTGAGCTTTATTTGCTCAAATATTAGTTGTAATGATAACCAGCATTTAGGTAGTGCCTTTCTGTTTACACATGATTTCTCAAACATTTTTCTCACTGGAACCCTAACTTTCCTGTGACATTACTCAGACGTAGAAAAGAAAAACATCCTCAATCTTTGTTCTTTTCCCCTTCCTGCTGGTCCAAAGAGTGGTTACCACAGTGAGCTTGGAAGCCCTGGGTTGGGAGCCAGTGGAGCCCTGTCAGCCTGGGCCCCTGAATGACTGTGTGGAACGGAGTTACCCGCCATTGTGAATTGATCATCTAGCAGTTTTTATGTGACAAAGAAGTAAACTCTTTATCTTTTATACCACATTATTTTGGAATCTGTCATCAGAACTTCATATTTCACCCTCTCTGAATTCATCCTTACCATTTGTTATCACTCTGTCCAGTGAACCATGCGGAGGGCAAGCCAATGTTTGTCTCAATCTTTGTAGAAGACTCGATTCAGCTGGTGTTGCTTGTAGTGTTTTTTCACTGCTATGCAATAGGTTACTCCCTTCCGTTGGTTCATTTCCATCTACACCCTTGGTGTGTGTAACTGTCTCCTCCTGTACTTAAAGAAACAATTTTTAAAGAAGTCTTTAAAACTTGGGACCAGCAGATGGCATAATTGTTACATTGCTGAACTGCCATGTAGTCAACTGCGGTTTGAGTCCTGGACCTGGCAGCTTAAAACTTACACTGGGTGCACACGTGTGCGTGCATGTGTGTTTGTGTGTGTGCACCCAAAATCCCGAGAGGAGAGTGGAGAAGAAGGAATTGCAGAATGGCCAACCCCCGGTGGGGTTATTTCTCACTTTCTGTCTCTCTGGTGAGCACACATGCCCCACAGCAAAAATCTCTCTAAAAAAAGTCTTGAAAACTGCATTTTAAAAATACATTCATACAGTTACCTAGTCCTCATACTACAAAACAAGTTCCCATTACTAGAAACAAAGATTACACTTTTTTTTTGGAGAGGTTTTTGCTATAGGGCTCATGTGCTCGCCAGAAAGACAGAGACAGGGAGACAGAGAGACAGAAAGCAAGAAATCCCCCCCGCCAGGGGATGGCCATGCTGCAACCCATTCTCCTCCATGCTTCTCTTGGAATCTTGGGTACACATGCACACATGCCTGGCGTGAGTTTAAGCCACCGGGTCTGGGACTCGAACCACAGTTGACTACTTGGGAGTCCCGCGACATAGCCACTACGCCAACTGCTGGTCCCCAAAGATTACACTTTATAAGGGGACGTACAGCTTTATTATTAGCTAATCAGCTAGTTTGAAACAAGAACTATGTTAAAAATATTTAGCAATGAGTCACTATATTTAGTATAATAAATGTCTGAGTCCATAAAATTTCATTATGTTTTGTAATACAGGATTTAAAAATCACATATTTAAGATATAATTCAGGGCAATAGTTGGTACATATACCAAAGTGATTCAGGAAGACTCTCTGTGATGAAAACCTTTTCATATTAATTAATTTACTTGAATTTAAGCAATAAAAAGAAAGAAAAAATAACCCAAAACCATTCTAGAAATTAGACCAAGGACGACACACTGCCTTTCTCATGCCCTCCACTTGTTAAGCCTCAGGCGGGACGATGCTAATGACTGTAGCTGAGGCATGTGGGCTCACTGCCCTGCACTGGGCGAGTCTGGGATTGCTGGCTGAGTGGCAGAGACCAAGGAGAACACATGTGATCACACGTCAGCAGTGCTAGTGCCTCCCTTAGAGAAAGGCTGGGATGAGTCACATGCCATCATAGCTTTACCTGCGGTTCTCGGTGCACAGCGTCTGTGTGATTCATCCCCGTGGAAAGTCCTGAATCTTCACATTCAATTGCTTTGTATTCATCCCTCATGATTTATAATTAAGGAAACGATGATTGAGCCAAGAGGAAGATCTGTTGTGAAGAAGAAACAGTATAGATACAGAGTAACAATTGAAAATCTTTGGAGGTAAATGAACTCTAAACTATTTCTCAGGATGCTAAAAGTGTATTTGTTTGTTTATCTTTTTAGATTTTTTGCCATAGGCATGTGCCTTTGCCAGAGACACAGAGAGAGACACAGAGAGAGAAAGTGAGAAATCACCCCAGGGTGGGAGGGAGGTGACCATGCCTAAATCTCTTCCCCATGCTCCTCTCCGGATTTTAGGCACGCATGCTCAGTGCTGGGACTCAAACTGTGGGGTTGGGAATATTTGGCTAAACTATCTTAATTATTTATTTTATTTTATTAATTAATTCGTTAATTTTAATTTGACTAGAGAGATACACAGAGAGAGGGAAGCGGGAGAGAGAGGGAAAATGAAAAAGCAAGCCACTAGGTCTGGGACTTGAATGATGGTTGGCCATGTGGGAGTGTCCAGTGCCTTAACCACTATGCCACTGGCTGGTTTCCTCAGCTAAACTATTTTAAATTAGACTATTCTTAATGTCCAACTGCTGATCTTTAGTCTCACTCCAATATATTAGCCTCAGTCTTACCTATCTTTTACACCTCTTGAAAAAATGCTTGTTGACCAATCACATTTTTATGATTTTTCCCTCTTGTTTTTGAATTATATTTCAAAATATTGTTATACCAGGAAGATTAAATACAGACACATAGAAACAAGAGTTCAAAAACTAAGAAAATGGCCAACTTAATCATAGGGACAAGTCTGCAATTTAATTTGGAAGATTTAACCACAACAGAACATGAAGTACATGAGGCTGAACTGGTGAAATAGAATTTTATGACTTTAGACTAAAACATTGCTGATTTACTTCTAGGCTTTGTTTTCTGGTTTTAAGGATTTTTGTCCTGTCTTGAGCTGTGGATAGGTTCTTGTACCTACCATTTGAACAGAATCCTAACCTGTTTCCTGGCTTTAAGTTTTAAGCAAAGTTCATTAACATTTCTTTGAGTTATTAAAGCTAAAAGTGCTTTTCTTGATATTAAAAAATATATTTAAAAATGCCTATTTAATGACCGTAGTAAGCTATAGAGCATCAGCCAGGTGCCACCTTACAGCATATTCATTCTACTCAGAGTTTCACACCTAAAGTCAGACATGTGTTCACAGATATGTACATACCAGCTGAACTTGCTATTGAAAGTAGTTAGATTATTTAAGAAATTTTGTAAATCAATACAATGTGGGGAAAAAAGGAATGGAAAACTAATGTAGACACCTGAGATAGTGTGGGAGGAGGGTGAGAAATGGAAGAGGGTAAGAAAGAGGGGGAAAAGCATATATATACATATTTATGCATATAAGTGAAACTAGAAATGGAAAATTATCGACAATAAAATGTATGATTAAGCCACAAAAAAAATTCTACACAGCATTACTTATCGAATTGTCCTCACTAATGGGCCGACTCGATGTAGCAGGAGAATGTGCCAGGTAATTTTCCAACGTTGATATGAGAATGAGTCACCAGAGGGAAATAGCTGGATTTCATTATTCTCCATCAGATAAACCAGAGTCACGGATGCCCCCTGGTTCTTATTTCTAAATTAAAGTTAAGAAAGCACATTGCCAGGGACCAGCAGTTGGCGTAATGGCTATGTCGCTGGACTCCCACGTAGTTGACCATGGTTCGGGTCCCGGACTCGGTGGCTTAAACTCACACCGGGCACGTGTGCGTGCATGCCCAAGATCCCCAGAGGAGAATGGAGAAGAAGGGATTGCGGCATGGTCATCCCCTGGGGGGTGATTTCTTACTTTCTGTCTCTCTATCTCTCTCTGTCTGTCTGGCGAGCGCATGTGTCCTATAGCGAAAACCTCTCCAAAGGAAAAAAAAAAAGAAAATAAATAAAAAGAAAGCACATTGCCATTGATTGAATAGACACAATGTCTTAGACCCTGTGACGACGCCATGGTCACTTGCTGGTCACTGTGGGCAATGTAAAAGATGGCCAAACACACTCTTCATTCTCGACAGGCTTACGGTGCACCCAGAATAAGCTTATACCCAGAAGAAGCTTGCTCTGGACAGGCTTACGGTGCACCCAGAATAAGCTTACAGGGAGTGACTGAAACACCTGTAGGCAGACGCCAGGTCGGCTCAGCAGGCTGCTTCCACCCCTCCATCCTCCACTGCGGTGTTCGACAGCTAGAAAGCCAACTATTCCATTTCCTGTCACCGTGGCTGCTAGAGGTGGCCTGTGTCACCGCTCTGTGTAGGAGACGTAAGGGTGAGTAGTGGGGGAGGCCTTCGAGGCTCGCACTTCTGTTCTTTGCCCTCAATATTAATTTCCCTTTTCTTTTCCTAGAAGGCAGACACACCGGCTGGAAGGGTGAGCTCAGTACTCGGGAGAGTAGAGCCTTCGACTGGAGGAGTCGGCCCTCGGTGACATTTTTGAGTTGCTGCATCAGCCTTCGATGCCCAGCTTTGAGGAAATTGTGTAAACCAGTAACAATCAGGTTTTCTTTTTACTAGTAATCAAAGTGATCCCTAATGCACGGCGCACACCACACGCTGTGGGTGGAACTAAGGCGAGGCCATGCGACAGCGGAATCTAATCTGACACATACCTGAGTGTCCAAATGTGCCAAGTTTAATAAAGTGTCAGTGTTTGCATTAAAAATTACAAAGAAAATCAGTTTGCCTTCAGCACCACCACTAAAACCACCACTTTCTTCCACAGGGACATCTCAAAAAAGCCTCGTTTGATGTTCACGATCTCTTAGACACGGTATAATAGAATACATAAATACACACGTGTCTATATATGCGTGTACGTAAGTATGAAATCTAAACATTCACTGCAAGATTCAGACTGGAAAACACCGAGGTCAGCGGCGCCTTGGAGGCGCGACAGCCAGAGGGCAGCGAGGGGAGCCTGAGAACCGGTCGGTCCCGACCCGGCCCTTGGCCCCTGCCTCCTGGGAAGGGCCCCTGGCGTCCCGGGGCGATGCGGGGCCGGCTCTGGGCCTGGACCACCCGCGCGTAGTGCCTGGGGCCACTCACCTGGCGGGGTCCGGCGGGAGACCGGCTCTGTGCGACAGGTGGGGACCGGGACCGGGACGGGGACTGGGACGTGCTGGCAGGCGTGCTGAGGCGGCGGAGCCGGGCCGGGGTTCGGGTCGCGCCTGGTTCGGGGCGGAGCCCTCGGCTGGGTGAGCGCAGATAACGGGGCGCCGGCGTCTGCGGCCCCGCCCTGTCCGCGCGCTCGCCGGCCACCCGCGCAGGGGTG